ATATCCAGAACATCTGCATAACATGAAGCGACAGAGAACTGAACATGAGCTCGTTGTGCAAAAGTGAAAACAAAAATACTTGGAATGGCAGGAGAAAAAAAAGACAAATCACTTCTTCTCAATCGTAGAGCTCCTGCTAAAGCTGAAGTACAGTTCATGGCAAAGGGATGCAGAAACAACGAGTGATCCCTGAAGGCCTCTCTTTTATTTACGTGTGTACGTTTGTCACAAACAAGTATACAGAAGTTACACTTGAGAGTGATATGTACTGAAGTCCAATCAGATGTCTGATGATTTTTTATTTAATTTTGCCAAACATGCAAATCAGTGAGAGGCCTGAGGTTTCACGAGCTCATATCGTCCCACCTGTCCCTCCTGTAAAAGCTGACCAATCAGCTGGTCTTTGTGCACTTTGCGACTGACGATAAGGAACCGCTGCCATCCCTGTCCATACGACTTGCTCCGCAGGCCGTATTTCTGAGATATCTGGTGGATCTGCTTTCGCTCATCGTTGTTGATATCAGTGGAGAAGCGGAGATCGTCCTGTCGGTCTGAACTGGCATAATTACGAATGATGCCCTCAATGTCACGCTTGCTTAGTTGATTTCCTGTTTTGTCTGTGTCCAAACCCAAACCTTCTCTGGAGAACTGTTCCTTTACTTTGATTGGTTCTGCGATGCCCTCCCCGTCTCGACCCAGCCCACCTCCTTTCCAGCCCATCTTGCGGAGCAGCTGGTTTCCTATGTTGTCTTCCTTAATCTCCTGCCTTGTGGCCTCCTCTCCAGAGCGAGCCAGGATCTGGGATCGGGATATGGCGTCGTTGTGACCCTCCTTTCTTAGGTTGGATTTGACCACAGCCTGCGTCTGCCTCAAGGTGGCCAAGGCCTCCTTTGCTGCAATGTGCTTAACTATTTTCTTGGGTCCAATTCCTGCAGCTACATACTGTGCCTCCAGGTAAACTTCACACCTCCAGCGATGATCAGGCAGAGCTGTGAACTTGTAATCAGCAGTCACTTTGTTAAACTGAGCTGTGTCATTAATGATACAGATAGCATTGTCAGAGTTTTCCAGGATGACCAACTCGCTGAGATGCTTCTTTTTGCCAACCTGTGTCCCAAAGCGCCCACCACAATCTGATTGATTATTTCCTCTGGAGAATTGGGGTGGTTGTTGCTGTTGTTGCTGCTCTCTCTGTGCCTGGTTCATGCGAAGTTTCCTCACTGCGTCTTCAGCTGCTGAATGCTTTGAGCTCTTTTTGGTACCTGTAGCCTGCGCCACCAACTCCCCCTGCAGGAAAACACTGCACTGCCAAGCAATGTTGTTAGGGAGCATGTCAAACTGATAGTCTACCTTCATGCGATTAAAAGCTGCAGAATTGTTGAGTATGCAGATGGCGTCGTGAGCATTGTCAATAACCACAAACTCTGACCAGTGCTTCCGCTTGTCAGGCTCGTATTGGCCCTTGGAGCTCGGGGTCGGTTTATCCTCAGGGTTTCGAAGTGCAGGTAAAAACCCTGGGGTTGGAGCGTGCATCTGGCACACAACTATGTCACTGACTACCGAGTGCCTGTATTTGCGCTGCACCACACGAACCTCGACTGTTTTCAGGAAGAGTTTCACAGCCGCCTCAGAGGCCCGGTCCCTTGCTCCATTTTTACTTCCAGAGTATCCGGTAGCAAGATACACACCCTGACATCTCAGTTCACAGGCGTAACCGTCTGTTGGTACTTTCCTGTTCTTCGGTAGGTCTGCCTGGGGAATGTCCTTCAGGTTGACATAAATATACTCAGGATTAGTCTTGCAGGCCTGAATGCTGCGGCTCAACATGAAATTATAGTTTGGCGACTCAGTTCCAGTCATAACCAAAGGATCCTTCAAAGCAACAGCCAATGCAAACGCTACATTGGAAACCAGCCTTTGCTTTTCATCTAGACAAGATTGAGATATTGAAATAGAAATAGGCTGCGATGAAGAGCCCGAATGAGAAGTGGTAGGACTGCTCCTACCCGGGCTGTTGTACACTCGGCTGAATGGCCTGCTTGATGACGGCCGGTCTTGATGACTGAACCCCAAACCCTGACGTCCCGAATCCCAGCCTGCTGATCTGCTTCCTCCCCCGTATCCATTGTATCTGTGGGGCTGAGAATAGGCATCTGCAGTTTGAGAAGAGTGGGCTTCGTACTTGGCCGAGTAGTCATTCTGTGTTTTTGCCATGAAGTTTGAAGTGGACCCATGTCCTCCATACCCCAACTCGCTCGTGCTACCTGAAGAAATCTCTCTGTCTTTATCTCTTTGGGAACCCCAAGAGTCAGAACTGTGCGGTGGCACTCGGTCAAAAGCAGGCCTCAGGGAGGATGAGCCCTGAGCTCTGCCGCTGTATGATGAGTGTTCAGAGTCCCACGATCTGGAACCGTGTGACTCACTCCTCCTGCGATCCTTATCGTTCTCCTTCTCATCAGCGCCATTGCCTCCGCTGCTTCCACCACTGACAAACTGTACAGGCTCAAATCGAGGTCGGGAACCAAATTTTGTCACAGGCATTTTCCTCATGGGCTCGTCTCCTGCAATAACATCACACGGGTACATTTTTAGAATAAGGATGTCTTACTTGAGTGGAATGTAGGGGTGGACAAATGCAACTTTTGTAGTGCCAATACCGATGTACATCTAAAAATATTTAGATGTACATCGGTAAAAAATGTAACTGAATAGATTGGCCCTGCTTGAACTCATAAATTATCATCAAGATAAACACAAAATGGTTGATTTGATATGTGAAAGTCCCATTAAACTAGTTAGTATGTGGGATTTAATTCATTTCATTTAACGGTTTGTTGTGATATGTCTAAAGTAGGCACAGCAGACTGTAAAAAAAGGGATTGATAGAAATGCTTAGAGATGTCTCATCAACCACCTCCACAAAACAGAGGATGTAGAGGTACATGTTTTAAATGTCAGGATATCGTTTTTATATAGGAAAAAATTGTAGAATAATATAGTCTACTATTGTAATCTAAAGTGTGATATAACAAAGTTGAATATCAAAAACATTCACAGTGCAAAATCATATGCATATGAAAGACATTTATAAACATAACTTTAGCTATTGCCTCATTGTTTACAAATATTAACTATGTGAAGTGATAAAAGTGTAATTTTGCACTTCATCTATAAGTATGAAATAAAATATATAGAATGGCATGTTTTGATATAAAGCTGTAACAGCGAAACACATAGAAGATAGTAGATAACATCATGGCAATGGAAACTTTTGAAAACAACAACTTTTGAGACTACACAAACAAAATGTACACTCACTGCCATCAGAAGAAGTAGGTCTCTTTTTTGCTTCAGAACTAGGACTTGGGTCGAAGGAGGGCATTTCGCCAGTGTAGGTGCCCTCTGCCATCACCAGCACCATCCAAATCAGATCCAGGCCATACCTGTTATTGAGGCCGAGTGAGACATTTTATGAATGAATGGAATAAACAAACACAACATGGCATACAGAGCTACAATCTGTCTGAACTAACGCCAGCAGCATCAGGTGACTGAAACACAACATATGTGCCTAGACTAAAGTTTATATTGCACAACTAAAAACATAGCATAAGATGTTAAAGGAGAGGTGTATAATGGCTGAATTTCATAGCAAAACAAGGCACAGAAAGAGTGACGCAGTAGGCCGACAGTCCACCTTTTACAAGCAAATACGTTTAAACAACATGTATCAACCGGTATCAACATGTATATGTGCAACTAGTAAGCTGTGTCATATCCATACCTCAAGGTGTAGCCTTTGGTCCGATTTATATCTCTGTCTTCACGCTGAGTATGTGACAGCGAATGTATTTTAATGATCAGCCGGTTATTATTATCGTGCTAGCTTTTTCCAGCTAGCTAGATAACGTTGGCAACCCGCGGGTAGCTGCTACCTAGCTGCTAACCTAGCGCCACTGCAGCTCATATAACTAGTTTTATATCAGGTTCAGCCCGTTCAGCTCGTCATGTAACCTTGTATCTTTCAAGTGCTATATCCGAAAGGGGTGGTTTGAAATGCTGCACTGAACCCTGCTAAGAGATACAGATACCCATTCAACTTGCGCTAACTAGCAGAAAGCCTCCATTTTCTGCTCCAGCTACAGTAGAAAATCATGGCGTCTGTTACGACGAAATGACCCAGAATGCTTTGCGGCCGGACTGCTGTCACTCACTGCCTGCTCACTGCACGTCGGTAACCTTTGAAATAGTCTTTGGTAATTAATAGACCTTAATTGGAACATATGTAAAATATAATATATGATCAAAGAATAGTATATCATTATTAAACTTAATCTTATTTTATTAAAATATAATAACCTCACTATAAATACAAATGTATTAACTCCTAACCCTTATGGATTATATTTGAAGATAACCCAGATAAAGCAAGCAATACATGGTCTCATATTATATATATGACATGTGTAAAAAACCTAACTGACGTTTACAATACACATCTTCAGCAGCAATGTGCTAAATGCTATCCATCAGTTGAGAGACTGAAAGTAAATCTTTGCAGTTTCACTAAAAATGAAGGCACAAAAGTAGTCCTTACAGTAATAAGAAGTATTTTATAACACTTAATCGTCTATTTAGATGCTTTATTTACACAAGGTGAAGTCGGTGTGGTCACTTTACCTACAGCTTAATTCTTCACAACATTCTTAACTTCTGCATTTAATGTTCTGTAAAAAATAGTCTAGTGTTAAAGTAAAGTCTGGTTTTCAAAATCATATTGCCTAAGTATTACACATACACAAACTAAGACAAAATTGATCAATGTATTTGGGAAGCCCATGATTAGATCAAGTTTAATTACAATAAAATAAATACTGTTCGTATATAATATTTGGTGATTACAGGTCATTTCAGCTTCCAGCACAGAAAAACTACTGTGCTAATTAATATTATTTAGTTCAACCATGAGCTGCAAACACTGTAAATAAAAGACAAGGGCGTTATAGTTCTGGATCATATTTTTTTATTGAAAATGTACATCAATGGAATCAAACTAAAGTAAGATATTTAATTATTTGTAGTGTGGGAGAGTTTTTGACTACAAGAGGTGATGACTGATACTAGAAAAATGTATGGCATTTTTTGACACCAAAATGTTACTTTACACTCAGAGAGTCACGTCCAAAGGTCATAGGTAATAAACAACAAGTCTCCACTTCAATACACAAAATATATCCTTATAAATTATACAAATGCATCAGTATACTTTTAATACTCCCATCTGGTTTTCAGTTCAACTCCATCTTATACTAAGATTTGGCAAAGGGAGTTGAAAACATAGGACAGAGCAAATATACATTAATAAAATGCACCATTTGAAGAAAAACAGCAATGTAGTTGAAATAGACTGCAAAATTGAATTATTAGGGGATAAAAACAAGCAAGTCAAAAGTCAAAGATCACAGCAGTAATGAAATAAAAAGATGCATGCAAAAACAAAACAAAATAGAACAGGCTTGTGAATATTAAAGCACAATGTGTAACAAAAGGCCATTACATGTGACCTCCATGGTATTTAACAGCGACATGTAAACATGGGCACCATCAAATGAAGTGCTAAGTAGAAATATTGCTTTGGATTTTTCATGAGTATGACTCTTAATTTAATTGTAATGTTCATAAAATCAGAGAGCAGGAGATATACATTTTTAACTGAATAGATTTAAGAAAAACAACGTGATAACTCATTATATCCATAACACATTACACATAGTGCATTAAGTGCTTCTGTCCTTGATGAGTTTCGTTTTCAAATAAGCTTTGATGTTTCATCTAATCCCTTATAAGGAATAGTTAGAAATGTTTAAAGTAGGCTTGAGGCACTTATACACAGTCAGTTTATTACCTACAGATGTTGGTCGGCACACCCCTACATTTGAGAAACAGACAGTTCGAACACTGAAGCAAAGCATGAACAGCTCTGGACATGGCAACAGCAAAACACTTTTTTGCCCCCTTACGTGTCGCTATATTTAGAATATTTTTGATAATTCTTTAGATCCATACTTAACAAATTCACACATCAACATACTAACTGGTTGAGGCAGCGATAGACCATCGACACCAATGTCAATGGAGTCTGGTGGAGAGTGCATAAATGTATTAAACAACATCAGTTCCCAGTCAGCAATGGCTGTCTGACTACAAGTAAAATCGATGTAAATTGGTGGCTAAAATAGTGCCTCTGTCCACAGCAGTACATTGCTTAGGTTTATTTTGAATGTAACTGTGTTTCTCCAAACTGGAGACGTGTATGTACTGTAGGTAATACACCGAGTTAGGAGAAGTACTTAATGAAACCCAACTTAAAAACATCCAAACTCTCCTTTTAATGTACACATGTACTTATAATCCTATTGAAAAGACAAATGCATAGTGCAAGATCAAATAATGATTTCACCTATGAGTCCTGCAAATGTGTGAACCCCAGCTTTTATTTACTACAAGAGTCTCTTTATATACATTAAGACATTAAAGATTGAAACTGTGCCCGGTTCCCAACCAGCGTGGGTTTAGAGCTTCAATAGGTGGTCAGAAATACCATGCCAGTCCACATAAGGCCATATTCAACAAAAAGAGATGCGATGGGGAGAATAAAAAAGGGTTGATACAGCGAGGAAAAAACTGGAAGAGGTAAAGGGTGCTTAGTTCTTGCCGAAGCTGCAATCCCCTCTTCAGGTGGTCAAGAGAGATTAAAAGAAGCTAAAGAGACAAAGAGAGAGAAAGCCAGCAGTTAGAGAGGTGGAAAAGCAGAAAAACAAAAATCATGGGTCAGGTTTTAGATTTAGAAGTTCATCTAATATCAGGTAGAAAATGTTTGATTATCACAATACAAAATTAGGTGGTAAAAATCCCTGGGATAATAGTTGTTAAAACAAAAATATTAAGCATAACATCCCGAGTTATTATTGTGATTATATTGTGCCCACTAGTGATTGTCTTTTCCTCTGTGGTACATTTGAATGAGAAAAAGTGTTAATAATTATCCAAATATGCCAATAAATAAACAAGTGCACCAAATCAAGTGGAAAAAGTGTTAGTCACATCAAAACACAAACAGTGCACATATAAACAAAAGCAAAAAGGCACAAGAAGCAAGAATTAGATTGCTGGGGGTGAGGTTAGAGCTGCAGCGAAACACACATGAATTCATATGATAGCAGAGCAGGTAATGATTAAGAAACCCTGAAGCCCGGGGTCCACAAAGCCGCTGGTCACATTTGAGGTACTCAGTACCCACAAAGGCCGCTCCCTCAGCAAAGCTTGAGGGCTGAGGAGCTACTCAGTGCAGAGCCAGGGATTACTGCGAAGGAAAGTGAAACCACACACACCAGTGAGCCGAGGATTAGGAGAGGCTCTTTCTCTCGATGTATTTTGACCCTGGAATCATGAGGACAGGGTGCAGGAATGTCTTGAATCCAAGACTGTGTTCTCTTTCAAGAGACAATAATAGCAACCTTGAAGTGGTGAAAAACAAGCAATAACTGATCAGATCAATGAATTTCCTGTCTCGATTTAGAGAGTATTAATGTCTCCAATTTACAAACATCAACTGAAAAGCCTCATTATGCAAATCAAGCATTCCCACTTTCCCCATTTGGTCTCCTACGTTACAGCAATATTTGTCATACACAATGATTATGGCCACAGTTGTTATATTTGGTGAAAAATTGGCCTTTATTTCTTTAAAGATAATATTTGTTTTGTGTGTAACACTGATACAAACAACAGTGGTCCCTGCAGGACAATGTGAACATCATGAAGATCGACTTTCAAATGTGCCTTCAATAGTAAGTAAAGTAAAAAAGAAAGTTACAATTGCACTGACAACATTAATATATATATACCTTAAAAAACATCACATTTGGGTATTCAAAAAGTGCAAATGTGAAAGCTAATACATGTATGCACGTAACACATGACAATAAATGAGGTATGGGAGAAGTGGCAAAGAGATTAGGCTCACTAACTACTCATGCATCTGGGTAGAGTGAAACAGCTTCAGCACAGGGACAAAAATAATAAAAACAATTATTTAATTCTTACTCATTTAAGTCTATATTGCTGAGGGAATTATAAGTAACCTTTAAAGTTATATTCCTCATTATTGTCATGAAATCAAATCCCTTTTTTAGAACTTGTTATGCATTCAATCAGGACTACAATCTTAAGGATCTTATAACTTGAAATTAATAACAAATAATCTATGTCAAAAATAACCACCAAATGTATGGTATATGCCGCAACAAACACCCCCAAAAATGTGTGTGTTTATTATGCAATTATGTGTGTATATGCCTCAAAATGTGAACACTAGGGGGAAAATAAATATCACCCAAAATGTTCCAGTGAACTTTTCTGTTGTTGTCCGCCCTGAGCTGGATCTGAAGCCAATGACTAAATGATTTAAAGTATTTTGGTAATTGTTGTTTGCAAGGTCAAGACAAGTAATCACTTAGATGATTGTCCTTTTATCTAAAGATGGATCAACATTAACCTAATCCATCCTCCAATCAGATCTTTGACCACTGTACTCTCCCTGCCCTCTGACTGTTTCACTTTACCCTCAACACATTTCTGCCCATCACAAAGGTAGTCATGTATGTTAATATGTTTTTAAAAGCTCACTCCATCATGCAATTAATCTTTTAATACAAAACAAACATGGAATGCATTATTTTGTAAATGTTTATAAAAAGACAAGCTAAATAACGGCTTGTATAAACAATATACCACACAAGCATCATTCAGCAAAATAAACACAGAGTGATGTCAAACTGATAGCAATGCCCAGCGTCTTCCAGAGAGCAGGGGGAGGGGGGGGGGGGCATGTGGAGGGTTGAATTATGGGGGTTGGGTGAGGGTGAGGCGGGGGGAAGGATGGGGCTCTGTAAAAAAGATGATGGGGTGGAAACTCATTCACAGCAGGACGGCCACAAGGGAGCACTTTTTCTACAGGAATCCTAAGCTGGAAATGAGAGAGAAGGGCTGTTAATGCTTCCTTTGAGTTAAATCATCAACACTGTTTCACATGGGTGACATCACATCAACTTTAGTGACCAGATTCGAGCAGATCGTGCTTTCAAGGCAGCTCAAAAAAAAGTTTAGAAGTTAGGGTGGCAGTACAGTCATCTATTTCTTTGAATCGTTTTGGTTTTTGTAGAGGTTTTGTCCCGCCTGAGCTTTAAACAATGTGTCTGATTGTCTTCCTCATCAAACAGCAGCTTGTTTGCATCTATTTTAACAGTCCTGAGCAGCTTGAGGAGTTTACAGATTGCAAGACAGATGTCTTTGTTCTGTTCGACCCTCCCCAGCGGTTGAGTCTCAACAACATCTCCCCTCTGTGGATTTGGCTTATGTATCCACTCAAGGAGGAGGGTCGTCATATGGCTGCGAGATCAACAAAACATGTCATCTCCACAAACAGCGATGGGCCCTGAGGGTGTTTGCTGCTCTGCTGTGACCTCACTTCAGCATTCAATGGCTCTTTGTGTGATGGCTGTGCGAGTGGGAAAGGCCATTGGAGAGCCACAAAAAAGACACTGTTGTGGGTTTTGAGAGGCAGATGGGGCAGTATATCAAATGGGTGTGTGGGGATCTAATAAACCGGATTATTTAGGAGGCAGCACAAGGACGGTAAACACTGCCAGCTCAAGGATATGATTGACACAGATGTTAGCAAGGATATGCTTTAGGCCCGCAACTCTCACATACCTGAATAGCTGTGCCCATTTATCATATTGTAGCACATTTAGATAACTTCAAATATTACATTAAATGCATTTCATTTAGATAATAGTTTGGAAAAAAGTTCATTTGATTGTAATTAAATGCTTAAATATAGCCTGTTCTAAATGTAGGCCAGATGCAGGAAGTCAGAGTCAATGAAGGAAAAAAATGGAGAGTATCTGCAGAATAGATTAACTCCTCAGACACTTGGTAGTGTAGGAACGTTCCCAGTTTGAGGACCTTTTACAGGATTCCTGATGTCTAAGGCAAGTCAAATTAAATACTTTGTTATGCTACTTTAAATGAAATGTAAGACCAATTCTACAATAACATTTAAGAAAAAAATGTTAGGGACAATGTCAGAAAAATCAAATCCTTAAAACCTACTTTCCACGTCTAAGACTTGATTTATCAAATGTTATATCAATTAAGTCGTTATTCCTACATAAATGCATTTTAGGAGTTTATAAGAATATTTGACATTATATCTTTATTCATGTACTTGTCAGAAATTAAAGTTTAATATCTTTTTTAGTTATATTTCGTAGGTGGTGTCTTACCAGAAAAGATGCCCCATGCAGCATGCAGCAAGTAGGAGGAGTTAACTGGAAAACATTATGGATGCAACATAGGTGACACATGCACTCACAGGACAGATTTACAAGCACTCATCAATATCTGTGTCAACTGGGAACTGAAGAAAACGCTGACAGATAAACAAACATTATCTGTGTTAACGCTTGAAGTGAAAGTCAGTTTTAACCAGTGTACCACAGACAAAGTGGCACAGCGGCCCCATTAGGAAGAGAAAATGTATCCAGGCAGAGCTCATAAAGAAAAGAAGTGGCTGTGAAGAAAAAAAATTAACAACAGGGAAGAAAAAAGAAAGCAACAAGAACCTTCTCAGTGCAAGTGTCTTCTTCCTTTTTTAACAGGCACGTCGTCACATCAGCTTCAACACAAAACCAGCAGTTGATTACCAACAGGAAGGGAGCCACAGACATAGACCTCAACCACACAAAAACACTTCTGGCTTCCAACACTGACAAACATGTTGCGACAAACAGTCTCGTACTCTCATGGCATAATGAAACTATTGATATAGTGTTGGAAGGAACAAAGTTAATGTCAGGGAAACAACATTGAAAGTTAATACTCTAGATTCATTGAAACCAGAGGAGTGGCCACTGTCAAATAGTTTCCACTTAAACAATTATGAACTTTGATGTGACCCTTTCAAGCTAATGGAACTGTCAAGTAATTGTTGACAGAGATGCTATAAAGTCATTTACACAGATCTGTTCAAGGGGGGTTTCATTTCATGATAATGATTTCTGACTGTTGGCTATTGTTCAACTATTTAGATGAGGATAGGGAGTCATTTCCACCAGTCTCTCCCCTTCTCTGCTCCTCGTAATTTTCCACAATGGTGATAAATTATGAATTCTGGTCAGCTCTCTTAGCGAGGAATTCAATGCTTAACATATTCTCCGTTATTATATAGAGGGCAAACTGGAGCACTCCTCTGCCTTGAGCTTAACCCGAGCCTTTAACTACTCTGAAGCATTAAATTATGCAAATATAAAGCGGATTATTAACGAGTGCTGACAAAGAAACCACTAAGCGTTTAGTGATATTAGAGGAACAGACGGAAATGAAGTTCTGTCTGCATAAAGTCGAATTAATGAGTTTGCATTTCTGTCAGGATCAAGCTACACATTTCCGTCTACTGCACAACATAAAGACCCCAAAGGCTTTACAACAAACAACTTCTCACATAGTGGCAGCTATATTTATGTACTTGTTTTGGCAAATGATCAACATTATGAAAGGTCAATGTAATAACATGTGGTATTGTTCGTCACGGCTCCATAGCATCCAGACTTTTCAATCCTGAAACCACTGGAGGTGGTCTGAAGCCCCTAACATGTACAGAGAGATGTGAGGAAGGCACAGGAAGAAGAGAACAATACTTACTTTTTCCTCTCTTTGTCCCTCTTGAGTGTGGTGGAGCCCCCTGCCTGCTGGGCCTGGTTCTGCAAGAGCTCTGCGGCAGTCTTTTTCTGTTTGAACATGTTGAGCTCGTCGTCCAGGGACTTCCTCTTGTCCTCCACTTTCTTCTTCTCGTCCTGGTGGAGCTTCTTCAGACGGTCAAACTTCTCGTGCAGCTATCGTGAGACAAACAATGCTTTTAGGTTATTAAATGCAAAGGCAGAAACTTCCCTTAACAAGTGATGAACATGATGATGAAAGGACGCACCTCTTTCTCGGCTTCTTTGAGCTCAGCCTCCTTCTCTTTCACTCTTTGGACAAACATCTGTCTCATTTCTTCCTCCTTTTTCTGCAGTTCCCCCATGAACTCGTTCCTCTTCGCTTCATATGTCTCCTGCAGACTGACAAAGGAAAAAGGGAGTACAACAATTAATAAACAGACAAAGACAACAAGACACAGACTGATACAATCTTGCAAAGGTAAAAAAGTTTCAATGATATATGGATGCAGAAAAATGCAAAATTAAAAAAGCGAGCAGTAAGCAGAGGTCCAGCTGTTTGGGAGCGGTCTCCTCTCCAGTCGTACCTGAAGGGCTTGCTGTCAGGGTCCGTGTCCTTGAAGCCCATCTCCTCCAGTTTGCAGCGGCGGTACAGCTCATAGTGGCGGGTGTGAGTCTGCTCTCGCAGGTCCTCCATGTTCACTCTGATCAGCATTTCCCGCAGCTTGACGAAGTCACAGTGATTCTCATTTTCCACTGTGAAAGACACACATCATAGTGAGTGACAAAAAAGTGCTTCACTCAACATGGTATCCTATTCATTATGTATTATGCAATAGTGTGAGAGGTGCAAACAGATACTACTAGAGCTGCTGTGATAGGCTGGCTTTTGATAAGTCAATCTATAGAAATGAATGTAAACATTTCAGAAAATGCAGTTTTAGCCTCACAAAAAACAGCTTTTTAATTCATATTAAACGGAATCACTGTGGGTTTTGGACTTACAAAATAGAAATGTAAAGACTTCCCCCTTGGACTTGCAAAATTATTTCCAGACATTTTATAGACCAAACTATTAAATAATAAAAAATGAAGCAGATGAATCGCTAGCTACCATAGGAAATTGAGCCTTATATATCTCTAGCATCACATAACATTTAGATTTAAAACAAATAACCCTAATGAATTATAACTTGGGAGTATTTTCCAGAACAGAATAGTGTTCCTGTCCTGTGGCTCGTCTATTGATTGTGTTACTGGACTGAACTCCACACCCCCCTCAGATCGTGTGACACCATGTGAGTTCACTATGCACGCACACATTCACTCAGTAAATAGATCCAATGACAAATAAAGCCTCTGGACAGAAATATCATACAGAGCAGTTTGTAAGTATTAGATTTCCTTGATTTTTGCTGCATGTAAAACGGAACACTGAATGTGAGGTAAAAGTGTTGACTTTCAGCTTTAGGGCCGTTTTTGGAAATGATAGCCCTATTTACCCTCAGAGGTTATGTATAGAAAGGGATATGCTTTCAACACAGATCTATAGATGTGAAATTAAAACCCCAGAAGTAACGCTTAATCAAATGACAATGAACCTCATGTGCAACTAGATATTTGAAAGCTTAAGGGCACATACAGTAAGTGTGATGTTTCAGATCTACACTCCATCTATTTGCAATACATTACACACAATACCAAATCAAAGAAACATTTTAAGCGACATAATATGTGTTCATTTGCAGGAGTTAATAGCTGCTAAATGAGGTTATATAACTGCAGCAGCTCTGACGAGAGGCAGCGCGCTCTCATTTCCTGTGCAGGATGTGACCTCAGCTTACCCTGCACGGTCCCCCAGGGGTACTGCCGGGCCTTCACCATCTTGTTCCCAATCTTCACTTCCTCCGTGCTCCCCACCACGGCAAATGGCAAATGGCTCTGTGGAGCAGACGGAAAAGCATTGTTGGTACTCCGTGAAACACCTGAGAGCTGAGCAGGATCTCTCAAGTTCTCCCCACAAAACAAACAAAACTGCACATTTACATGCTGCTGTTCTGCTTTGATTACATCTCTGCTTACAAGTTATTACACTAAAGTCCATCTTATTCGTACATGTTAACTTACGTACACGTTTTTCTAAGCAGCATTATATCACAAAGGGAAAAGAGAGAAACACGTGTTATATTTATTATATAACTCGACCATTAGGAGCCTATTTTTACACACGGCAAGAAGCAGCTCAGAGAGGAAGGCTGACTTCTATATCAGAACAGGGTCAGGATCAGATCATACAACAGCCCAGAGGCAGCATACTAACACAATCAGTTGGGTAGGCCTTTGCACAGATCAGCAAACAGTTAAGGGAGCCTCGGCTCATCTGTCAGTGACCGAGGCTCGTTCCCACACAGCAGCTTCCTGCAGAGTGAGCGGGCTGATTGTGCCGCTCTGAACAAACTCCTCCCAGCATGAGGCGGCTTCCTGAATGCCTGAGCACACACAGAGGAGGTCTGTCCTGATTCTACATCACATGCTGTTCTTGCCGGTAAAGCAAAACGGAATCTATAGTAAACACTGTTAAAAGCGAAAAGAAGTATGATACAGAAATCAGTCCATTAACACAGCCATGGTCAGGTGGACTTGATTGTGCGAGATTTCATATTGTTAGATAATAATAAAGATTGGGTCAAACAGCATCTCAAAAAATGTTCACATCATCTGATTGTTTGTGTCTTATTGTGTAAGTGTTTATGTTTCTGTTTGTTATACAAAATAAAATATTGCCCAGGGTGAAAGTAAAAATCCCCCTTGGACAAGAAGAAGAAATGTATTTTAACACCCGTTTGTCTTGGAATTAAATGTGTGAACGCACAGAATGGATAGATATATATTTATGGTCAATCAGAAAATAATGTATTCTTAAGGAATTTTTATTAATGTATCTTCCGTACTTCTGTGTTTATTCAATGAGATGAGCCTGTGTAAAACATGTGATGTAGTTTTTGAGCCTTACGTTCATGGTGGAGTTGATCTCTGCCACAGACTCGTCGTCAGTGGGGAACTGGTAGATCTGCACCCCGTTGCTCACCAGCTCGCTGGTGATTTTGAGTTTAAACTTGGCCAGCTCGCTCTTGGAGATGGCGTCCGACTTGGCAACGATTGGGATAATGTTGACCTGAGGTTGAGAAATAAGAAAGAATTTGGTTTGTTTTCTGAACAGGAAAGAATACACAGCAAACACATACATCAAACTATCAATTAACAACACAATAAAGTATGGCAGTCTCAAAAGGACCCTAAGAATGTTATACTTATCATGTCCTACCCCCTTTTTAATATGTATGTATACTTTAAACTTAACGTTATACATAAGTACTTTGACACAATGACAAGGTGGTGCAGACAACACTTTCAGATGGGCAGCCTATAAATAGATGTCTTTCTGTCAATTTTTGCAAACGCCATTAATTAAGTTCAAATATAGAAAGTAGTGGATGTATTCTACAAAAAGGGCCAAAAGATCAAAGCCATTGCAAATCAGATAAAGCTGGTCTTTTAGAAGTAGTAGCCTCAGCTGAACAGCATTCAGGTTTAGTAACGGAATACAAAACACAGATAACTATTTATTTTTGTGTTTTCAATCACTGTTTGCCAAGGATTGTAAAACATATTTAAATTAAAATGTCCTTAAGGAATGGGTACTGAACATCTCTTCACCATTCAACACATCACAGTACCTCTATCTAGCTCCAGGCCTTTGTGGATTGCAGACAATTACACATTCTTAAGAACAGAGTTATAAGCAGAGCAGCAAATGGAGCAGAAGGCTTCCATCTCCTGCTCCATATCACTTAAAAGCTCTCCAAACATGGTGTTTTTAATAGAATGATTTCAACAGCAAGTATGCTATCCGGGAAACAGGAAATGGGTCATTCTAATTGCTGATAGAAAAAATGAGACTTTCCCTCCCACCCAACTATTTTCTACGAGTCCTGTCGCCCACACAATCCCACAGTATTAGCTCTCCAGCTGTGGGCCCCTTTAACTAACAACACAGCTCACGGGCATTTGAACAAGTAAAACTTAACAGCACCCCTGAGTGTAGTAAGGATTCAGCTTGGTCGTGGACACTTTAGTAGAGTATTGTTTCAGCCCCCCCCCTCCCTTAGGTGGATGTGTACACAGGGGAGGATGCTTTCTGGATCACGCTGTTGTGAGCACTCGCCAGAGGGATCAGCTGCTCTGGCAAACACTGAGCCGACTCTTTCTACAGAAGCCAGGAGGTCCATGCAAATAAGCTACTGTGGAAAGACCCTCACACAAAAAACGAGGATGCAGTCACTGAGCTGAGTGGTTTCACAGCTGACCTACACCGCCGCAGTAACAAGACCAGAGCCAATTAGCATGCAGGCAGATGGCCTAGAAAGACTTCATGACCCATGACTAGAGTAGATAGATAAAATGCGACACACACCAACGCAGTGGCAAAGGCTTTACCTACAGTATATCTTTGACATTTTACAGTAGGTCTGTTTATGTTTCTTAAGCATTACAATAGTAATTTCTTAGCATCATGCTGCTGCAGTGCAACTATCCCTTTCCTTTTACGCTCAAATTGAAAGTGGGTCTCTGAAAAGTTATCCCCTGGCTTAAAAAATATGGCAGATTCTACTGGAAACTTAAATGCATAAAAATGTCTTCTTGCTGATAATGATAATCGTTTTAGGAAGTGAAGCAAGGCTCACCTTGCTATCAAGTTTCTTCATAGTCACCAAGTCCAGGGATTTGAGCGAGTGTCCCGTGGGTGCTATAAAATAAAGACACGCGTGGATGCGTGTGTCGTGGTAGCTGTGTAGCGTGCGCTTGATTTTCAGCTCCTCTTGTAGATACGCTTCAAACTGGGCATCGATGAACTCCACGATAGACTTGTAGCTGTCAGAAAAAGAAGAAACAGGGAGGGTTTTTTTTAGCATACCTTATTTGCTTTGGATACACTGCTACATTATCTCATATATTTTCCTATTACTCAACAATACCAAAACATTTCACACTTGACTGGAAAAGGACACACTGACCCCTTTTTTGGGTTCCCTGCCCCCAAAATCCCATATGTGCCTTAAATGTTTAAGCATTCAGGCAACGCTCGTCAATTGGACTTCTATACATCAAGCTTTTAAAATTGTTCTCAGGGATGCAAAAAACACAATGTTTTCTTCTAGAGTATAACAATTAATATAACAAATGTTTATTCATTTTCAATTAATAGACTTATACAATAACATTTGTTTAAATATTATCTGAAAAAGAGGGCAAAGGAAAGGATACATGCTATAGAAAATGGCAGAGAAAGAGGTTTGACCCCAAACTTTAAGGAGTCCAGGAAGCTTTACCCCTCCCAACACACACACAAACAAACACACAAACACAGACACAGAGAAACACACAGCTTGTGTACATACCAGAGGGCCTTCTGCCAGGGGCAGTTCTCATGGCAATGAGAATGTGCATGTGCAAACTGCAGTAAGTCTAAGTTACTTCCTTTATGATTTGCATTTTGATACTAAACAAACTGTGAAACCTGGAAATATCCATAGCCTTCCTATTACAGAGAGCTTACAGAGTTGGAGCTCACATAACATCTCACCCTGAACTGACCTCAGCAGCAGAGATAGCATTTAGGTTGTGGATTGTAAGCTCGGTTCAGTATTTTATGTTTGATGAAATAGTTTCAGACCTATTTCTACAGCAGTCTTGTTTAAATACTTGGAAAAAATAACAATATCTTATTCGTGTTGTAGAAATGTACAACAAAACTGCTGAGGAAACGGAAATGGGGACCAGACTTGACATTTTTTGGGTATAATTTAATCAGGATCAGGACTGAATGAAACCTGAGCTCCAAAAATGTTCAGAGCTCTCACAGATTCATTGTATGTGAGGAATTTAGTCGGCACGATCAAGTGTGGATTTTGGTTACTGCTCACAAAGAGTCTGTCAGGAAGAGAAAGAATCCAGTGTTCTTTGATCAAACCTCAAACTGGGGCCATGTGTCCAGTACCATTTACCTGTCCTCTTTGTTGATTTGGTCTCCGAATCCCACCGTGTTGACGACGGTGAGTTTGAGGCGCACGTTACTCTCCTGGAGCTCGTAAGTGTTGGACTTCAGCGTGACTCCCGGCTGGTTGTGCTGGGTGGGCTCGCCCTCAAACTTGGTGTTGAACAACGTGTCCATGAGGGTGGACTTCCCCAGACCCGTCTCACCTAGAAAACACAGAGAAAATGCCTCATGTTACTGGGAACGCAGAGACATTGATTAAGTTTTCCTTCACACTAAAATGTGTACTTCAACTCCACTAACACGGCAATATCTATCATTTTGAAAGATACACAGCGTCTAGAGTATTGATCAAAAATCTAAATACATTAACAGTTACTTGTGAACTGATAAAAAAATTTAAAAAGGCAAGAAACAAGCAATTTTATATGGGAAATGTTTCTAATAGACACCTTTGTGAGGCACTTTTTATTAGTGTCTATCCCTTTACCCTGCATCCTTCAAAATTAACAGATATTTAATAATCTTGACACATGGTCAGCTTCGGATTAATTTAACCCTAAACTCACTTTGATTGCAGTTCAAAAAATGCATTGATTTTGTTTGTTTTTCTTGTGTAGCATAAATAGAATACAATTGCATTCTGTTGCAACCCAGTGTTGTAGAATGACAATAAATGATACTTGAAGAACTCTCAACTGCTACTTATCAAGTGATAAAGTAGATTACATTTGACATTTTGAAGATGCTCCAAGCTAAACATATAATTTTCAAAATAGCAGAAGGAGAGGCTTGTTATCTACTGATGAATCCTAACATCCATTTACTTTGAGAGGCAGTCAGATGACTCAGATTCAGAGCTCCCTGTGTAAGAAATTCTATTTTTATTCATCTGAGCCTGACCTACAGTCTAAGCATGTTAGCCTATTTTAATAGGATATCTCTGTATGATCCAAATCTTATCGTTCCTTCATAATCCACAGAAACTGATGCATCAACGGTCACTTTGCCTGTTTCTGACCTCAGTTTTAGTCAGTCTCTCATGCTGAAGGCAATTTGGCAACCTAGAAACTAAGGGGTAAACAGGAAAGAGTTGCAAACCAATCCTCAATAACTAACCATGTGCAGTAATGCCAATCATCTTTTAGCCCAACGGAAACAAACATCTCCACGTCTTTGATTCCCTCTTTGAAATTTAAACCACAACCAAATTATACAAAACACAAGATCACTTGTCTTTGCCTCAAGCAATGCTTGTACTACTTTGAACCGCTGCACTTGTGAGTCACACAATAGCATTTGCTGTCTACAACAAATGCTTTTCTTAGTGTATAGCATCATTTTTGGTTCCATATTCTGGACTGGTTTGTACTTATATTTCTCAAGAGAGCTTAGACATCCTGGTGGTATTACCACCAAATAAATATGGTTTGTTTAAATTATGAGTAACACATTGTTGTTTGCTTTTTTGCCTTTCACCCATACACAGAAATAAACACCACAAAATAGCTTCAGCTTGGAGGCAAGTCAAAACCATGCCACTAGAAATGCCCACCAGGCATTTCCTTTCATGAAAATCTTTAAAGACACACATTGTAGTTATGTAACTAGACCTCTAAATAGGAATACATCCTAAAATAGATAGCATACAGGGTCTTAGAACCCAAATTGTCATGTTTGCTACTGCTGGTAGTAAAACTGTAGCATCACCAGAAATGTGATCTACAAAATATCCGTCTAGAGTTCAGTGTGTTGGTGACATGCCTTCCTCTCTGTGTAGACTAACATTAGAAGGTGTAATTGGGAAAAACAAACCAAAATGTGGGGAAAAAAACATGTACTTTTCCATTGCTGCTTGGCAATTTGATGTGCCACTGAAACAACATAATTCCAAATAACAAATATAGTTGGACTGTGTGTGGCAGGCAGTAATGCAATGTTTCCTAAACATCTGAAGTTCTAACCAGCACTCATTTATACACATAAAGGGGGAAAATATAAGCAAAGCTTCGTATTATCCACAACACACTGAAATGAAACAGCACCAAAAATGGCCATAAAGTTTTATCAACGCCTACCAACGCCATCTTCAACACAAACTGAATCATCGCTCGCAAAAAGCTCAGGTTTAGTGAGGGACTGTTGAATTAGATTTCATTAGTTGTATTTGAGTGCATCTAATAAAAAGGTACCCGAGTGTATTTGACAGAATAATCCAAGCACTTATTGAAGCCGAACTGACTTGTCCATATAAAACATCTCAGGCACCATTTCTCAGTGTTCTCACAAATCCAACAAAAGGCTTGCTCTGTATAGTGTGACAGCCATACTGATACAAAAAATGTACACTTAAATTAAATAATGAAGTTCCTATCTTAACCCAGAGCATCTTACTCATCATGGCAGCGAATGCTGACTTGCCCGAAGGAATCTAAGCGCATCAAATACTGAGCAACATGCTTTGCATCTTGTGGGAAAGCCTGACTTTCAGTGAAGCAAATAAGTAGTCTTTTAGCCCAAGGAGAAAGAGAGAGAGAGTAAAAGCATTTCCACGCATGACATACTCACCAACACAGAGGATGTTGAAGCAGAATCCGTGGTTGACAGATTTATTGACCAACTGGTCAGGCATGCTATCAAAGCCGACATGGCCTGCCAGAGGGACAGTGCGAGCACCTTCACCCTAAAATAAAAGGAAATCAACAACATCATGTCACTGACATTGCATTAATTTGCCTTGTTACGGCACTGTGTTCTCATTACTGTACAAATACACAGACTTCTATTTAACACTTTATAATGAACATTTACAACTCTGTAAATGGTTGTTAAGTGGATAAATAACAACTTATTTAAAAAACATTTGTATTTCCTCGTAACCACACGTTCCACCATATTTGCTCTACATTTTTTAGTCTGATTTCAGGTGCAATGTTGCTCACTTCCTGTTTGCTGAGCAGTAACTTTCTTCCCACAGACGAGACAGTTCGAAACCACAATGTACATATATGGAAAGGCATTGTCGTATGTGTCAAGATAATTGAAAAAACAAAACAGAAAGCTTTGACAATAAATATATAACTTAAAGCTGATCGAGTCAAGTTAATACAGCTAGCTTTTTTGGTTTTTGAGGTTTCACTTTGACTTGAACCCTTAAACTCCATATTTTTGGCCAGTTGCACTTCCCTTTCAATCTACTTTACTCTGTTTGTCCACAGTCTATCTCTGGACCAGAGTGACACCAAACACCAATGTGTAAAAGCACTGTTGTTACATGTGTGTGTGGGCGGGTGGCTGCTGGTGAGTATCTCAATCCCTGCGAATCTCATTTCTGCAGCCCACGTCTGCATTATGAGGTGCAGGAAAGCAAAGAATTTAGATTATATGGCAAAGCAAGAGCTCTAAACCAGCTAAACCTCAGCCAACCAGCCATTATGTGGCTTAGCGTAACACACTGTTGCTTTCCAATGTGGCTTTGACAGGAAAACATTCCGTTTGCGGGTCAGTTTAAAATAAACGGGTCAAACTGATGCTACTGGACAGTTGTGGATTATTTGGATAGTTAAAATTGGGTTTAAACAGCTATGGGAGTATTTGGGAAACTGGGGGTATTGTGACTAAACAAACAGCATTTCCTCTTCAGCTGCAAGTGCAACATTCCTGAAACCTTTCCTGCTTTTTAAAACACTCACAGCCAAGTTACACACAGAAGGTTTTCTCAATCATTTTCATTTTGTGTGGCCACAATGGAAATCAAAGTGCAAAACCTTGCTATTCTGGGCACTTTTTTTGGTGTAGAGGCTTTCTTTTCCACTTAAATAAAAGAAACGAGCACACTTTACACAATATTGTAAAATTGCACGGACTAAATGCATATAACTGGCTCCGTTTTGTCCATGTTTTCTATGAATATAAGACAACGCCCGAATGAAAGTTAACGGGACTTGCATGAAACAACATAACGGAAATGAGCACCGTAGCTGAGCTGAAATGGGGGCGTTAAGAATGAATGGCCTACTACCGATGGATTTATTATCAGTTAGCTAATAAGGGGTCTACTACAAAGTATTTAACACAGTACATTCAACAAAACACCATTTTGTTTGAAAGGTATGTTAAGCTCATCAGCACAGGATATCTGTAGGCGTTAGCTTATAACAATGTAAATACCTGAATGAATATATTTCAAAGAATGCAACGAATGAGCAGGCCTTACTTTAAAACCGGATATACTTAGAGATTTAGAAACGCACCATCAGATTTGTGATGGATAACCGCCAACATATGTCGTTTCATTAGCAACGTTACATTCAATTTGGGTTTCAATAAAACCACGAAACACGGATGATAGCTTGCGTTTACCTATTCCAAATTAAATTCTCCCTCGTAACGCTAAAATTATATATTTCATATCATATAGGCCAGCAAAGAAATAACAGAGATTTATGTTCATAGTGACAATGGCACCCAGAGTAAAATGAGGCTACTCACCGCTTGCCTTGCTATCTCAGTTGACGCCATGGTGGTAGCTGCTAGGTGGAGGACGGAACATCTACTACTCTCTGTTAGCAGAGGAAGCTGCAACGTTCAAGTTACACCGAAAGATGGCCTACTGGGAATGTACCATTGTTCAAAGGGATATTTTGCAATTATACTATAATATGATGACAGGGCTCACATTGGGTGTTATTTAAATATTACAATTATAAACAATCCGCCTCGTTTTTTTAATATAGAAGTCAATTTAATATGATTTTTAAAAAGCACTGCCCACTGATCTCCCCCACAGAAGGTCGTAATGGTGTCGTCCAGTGCGAATGGCAGTGAACCACAGTCAATGAACGTTACAAACGGTTTTAATTACTTTGTGGTTAGTGTGAAAAAACTCTCAGTATTACAATTTTTTCATATGACTTTAAAATATTAACAACATACATATAAGAAGTTCCACCTTATGATTATTTATCAACCTTTATTTAATCCATATGTAGTGCAAATTATTTTGTTGGTAACGCCCATTCAAATCCTCTGTGCTACATCGACCAATAGAAAGAAGGCAGCGAATTTAAAAAGGAGCCGCGGTCACTCAGAATCTACGACCAGATCAATATCATAACAACTCCGAGGTTCGAGAGCTAAAGCAGCAACCGAAGACGCTAACCACACCGAGGTAACGTTAATGCTAACACCTGTATATCAACGTTACTGTTGCGTCTTTTGTTAACACTTTTACGTTTTAGAAAAGGGATAATGAAAATAAGATGCCTAACGCAAGCTAACTAACTAAGCTAAACTAACTGTCTTACATTTAGCTCAAGAATAGTTCAATAACTTGACCTCAATAAGTAAAACCGAAGGTTAATCGACGTTAACCTTTATTAGCTGCCTGTCATGTGGCACTATGTTGGCTAGTTATGGTTAAATGTGACCATTTTAAGTAAGCTAATTATTGTTAGCATAGTGATTGTTATGTTTGCAAAGGTTGTATGTAACGTTTCCATGAGAAAAACAAATAAAACTAAGTTTGATTTTATTGAGCTTAATACAGAACAATCATGAAGATGTAGAGTGAAGTGTTACATGAAAAACGGAATATTTAGGTAGGCAGACGTAGACAGCCAACTTGCCAAACGAGAGTCAGTGTCGTTCATTAATGGTAGCTACATCTGTTAAGTGCTGTAACACTGCCATATTGGCTATTATTTGCAGTACACTTTACTATTCCTAAATGTTGTCAGTCAGATGCCGAGTAAACACAGCCACAGGGACTACTAGAACTAGTTATGATTTCACAGGACCTGATCCCCTGATGCATCGTTTTCAAGATAAAGAGCCAAGCCTTGGTGTTTGTGTAAATATGACTACAATTGATATCGATATTGTTTACCATGTTCTTCTGCTGATAACATTACCTCACTGATTCGGCTCCAAAAGCATTAATGATGGTTTTGTTCCAAGTGTCCCATTAGCCTGCACTTGCAAAAAATAGCCATGTGAAGGCAGCAATGTTACCTATGCTCCTCTTGCTATGTGTCGAATGTCTGCCACAGCAGAGTCTCTTCCATGGTGATACATTATGTCATGCAGTAGCTAATATCAGATTGTGTTTTCAGATACAATGGCCCATATAATCTTTGCCGAGCGTGAAATGGCAAGTCTTCATCCGCCTACACTGAAGATGCGCCAGCGGATTCAGTCTGCTCCAGGTATGAGTGCCAACCTTGTGATTTTTGAAGATTTGTCTTTCTTCTAGCAGTAATATTGATCCGTATAGAAACATGCTTTAATATTTTTGCCTTTCCCCCCCCCCCAACTAGAACAAATTGGATGTTTAATGACTGCCAACAGTTTAATCACGCCAAGTCGTCGCAAAGCTTTTGGTGCTGTGAACCAAAAAATCTCAACCCCTGCTAGAAACACACGAGAGACGAAAACCCTAAAACCACAGGTTGGAATAAACGACAGTTACAATTTCAGAAAGTACTCGGGCTATCTTGTGTTTAATGCCTCAAACAACACGTGTGTTGACACAATCTTTTGTTCCCTACAGGAAACCAAAGTCAAGCATGCTTCAGAACAGAAGACCAAAGTGGAGGACTATGCAGAAATTGAAAAGTGCATCCCTTATGACCCGCTAGGTAATTAACACTTTCATCACTGACAGTTTTGTTAGAGTTTATTCATTTTTGGTATAAAAGTCAGAGTTCATAGATCATCCTCACCACCTCACAATCAGAACGGACTTTCTGTGTAAATCACTGCATAATCAGATTAGCTTTGATTCCTTGAGTCCAATAATAGTTCCCTCAGGACTCGGCAGGACTCGGCTCTTTGAGGCCCATCTGTACATAAGAAAAATGCACATGTCACATGTTAATGGGTCAACATGTATAATGTTCATTTCCCCCATGCGGTTGCTGTGTTACAGTTTTGAAATGTGTATTTGAAAAAAGTTGTGTTTTTTTTTTTTCCTCCAGAGTTTGAGAGGTACAGCATACCCGAGGACTTGATTCCTCTCGGTAGCTTTGCTCTGCCTGGTCTGGCCCGTTTCCCACAGGCTCCAGACCTGTTTGAGGAGGACTTTATTGAGATTGCCCCACTTCCAAACCTGTCTCCTGTAAAAATGCCAAATCGTTCAGGTATTGACTTCACATCTATATTTATGGATTCAAAAACATGAGCATTGGTCAATGTTAAATTCTCTGAAGCACAGGGTGGATACAATGTTATCACAGTATATGTAATTTCATGCCATAACTGAAATCTGTTTATTAATGAAAGTGCAGATTGTTTTGGCTAAAGCATCACATTTTAATAATTTACTAGTGTATGCACTCCAAATAGTAGGCTTCGGGCAACATTATCTCCCGTGAATGGGAAAGCTTTTAATGGCAACATGCAGCATTGAATAAGCTACAATTGTCTAGCAGGTGTAGCCATTAAGTATGGTGCACACGTTTAAAACTACAGGTATCATTAACCTGCTGTATGATTAACTTTGCTGTATTTTCCCCTCTCCAGATTATTTCCCCTCTCCAGACGATTGCTCGGCACTGGACGCTTTTCTACAAACACTTGATGAGCTGACGGTTGAACTTCCTTCAGAATCTTTTACTGACTAAATGTTGATGCGTGTTTTTGTTATGACTACATTTTTACTGAAATAAAAGTTTTTATCTGTCCCTTTTACCTCTTATATTTGCTGAACAGCGTTGTTTTTAATAATGGGTGACTGGCTGGTTAAGTGTCAAGGGAGTAACAATGTTTTTACTTCCTGCTTTTGAAGTCCATCAGTGGTCACATGTGAGGCAGTCTCCCTATTGGTGTAGCCTGAGATTAGAATGAACTTTGTCTCAGTTCCTCTTGTAAAGGAAAAGAGGATATCAACTTGGCTCTATAGCTTGAGAAATCCTTAAACCATAAATCCATATTTTGTGTCTTCACCCACTACACTGGAAGGGGAATACTAAGGTTTAATGGTCAATACAATTGGACGGACTTTGGACACAGGTGAGTGGGGGGAGCCGGATACACAGAGTAAAACTGATTGGTATATCGTACTGAAGGAATGCATTCTTCCTGTTGTGTGTATATACTTTCAAATGAGGAACTTGACTTAATGTTAAGACTATTAGAATTACATGCCTGGGTGTTGAGACATGAGTTTATAGGCCTACATATATTAATACCGTTTCCTCCCATGACAGGAATGAGTAGAGGGAAACTGATATCTTCGGGGTGTGTTGTCTAAAATAAAGGAAGTAGCGTTGAGCTCACTCGGGCAGCATGAATGAGGGCAGATCGGGTGAAGCTGGCCGTGGACCAGCGGTCAGTAACACCGACACCCACGGCAGCCGGAGGTCCAGACAGGGCAGCGTTGTGGAGCGACTCTCTCGGTATGGCATGCAGGTCATGCCCAGCGCTTTCCAGCGTAGGTCGCGGCTGCAGAGGCAGCTGGAGGTCACTGACAGCTGCGAGCCGGGGGCACACCAGAGGGAGGCTCCGGAGAGAAGCTCTCTCACACCCGCTATGCGTAAGAAATACCTGAAAGAGTTGCTTTTGAGCAACCCGTCGCACAGCGGGCTGAGCAGCGTGCTTTCACAGACCTACAGTGTGTGTTCCGAGCAGGACGCCGCAGACTGGGCTCTGTATTTGATGGAGCACGCCTGGATGTTGTCTGCAGTGGAGGGGAACTATGAAACCCTCCTGGAGTTCATCTCCGAGGACCCCTATCTGTTGACCAGGAGGGATTTCATCAGCGGGTACTCGGTGCTGCATTGGCTGGCCAAGAGAGGACAGGACGAGATTCTGCTCAAACTTTTGCGGTTCGCACAAGATGCGGGGATCCCGGTGAACGTGAATGTGCGGGGCAGCGGCGGGCTGACCCCGCTGCATGTGGCCAGCCAGCACAGACACTTCATGGTCATCAAGCTGCTGGTCGGAGCCTTCAGTGCCAACGTAGATGCCATGGACTACAATGGGAAGAGAGCCTGGCAGTATCTGCCGGGAGACGCCCCGCCGGAGATGAAGGAGCTGCTGGGGACCTGGGATGACGAGCACGGCTGCGGAGGATGTGCACAAAATGTCAACAACAACAGCGCTGGCGCAATGAACTTGACCGCATATGATGAGGTCGATCATGGGGAGACAGATGATATGCACTCCTTCGACCGGACTAAGAGGGGGGGCAGCTGGGGGTTTGGCTCTCTAAGGAAGCTGCTACCATCCTTTTCATTTCTTGGAAACAAAAGCTGAGTGTTTGACACAGGCCTTCAAATATGTGAATTATTTTACATTCTCTTCAATTTCCAGTCTAATGAAGCAAACATTCTGCCTATATCTGTAAAAGTCTTAGAGTAGGCTACTTAAGAGTATTCATCAAAATGCTCATTATAGGGCGTGTTGCTTTAAATCAACATGTATTACTCGTTTTAATATTTAGTTTTACAGATTTCCTTATCCGTTGAATGTTTGATGAACAGTGATCCAAAAAGGGATAACCATTTTCAAATATTTGTCAATGACTTTAAATACTTTCACCTCATGCCTTTAAATGCAACTGCTCATTTGTACACCATGTCACCTACTGTGACGAGGGGGTCACCAAATAGATATGGCTTGTCTTATGTGATCACTGCACTATTTTGACAATACTTAGTATAGGGCATCAATGTTTCTATTTACACTCACGGAAAAGCATCCATTTGATGTACTGCACTTCAATGATTGTGGCAACTCACTGAACTAATAAAGCCTACTGCCTGTACAGAGCCTTTTTCTAAACATTTCTTGCTGCCGACCCAGCACTGCTTGTAACAACTAGATGTTCCTGTTCACTGATGTGGCACATTTTTCCCTCAGTTTTACCACTTGTGTAAACATTTCATCGTAGGTCTTGCTACTAGATTACACTTCTTAAATAGCATTGCTGTCTCTGGCACAAGCAACAAAGTCAGAGTTCAGATTCTAACCAACTAGAAATAACTACGATCTCCCATAAAAAACACGATTCAGAAGTATTTGCTGCTGTGGTCAAGGGTGAAACCCCTTCACAGAGCCCCTCTTCTGCAGAATGTGTCAGTATTACCACTCCCCATGTGATGTTTTCTCAAAACACTCAGCCTGTAAATGGATTAGAAAAAGATGAACCAAAGCCTTATATCAAGTTTGATCAGATGTTTTATTGTCAAACATGAGCATAACCAGAGTATATGTAAAAAACGTCGGCTGCTCCAGATAACATGGCTCCCCCGGTGCTCAGGCCCAGCAGCTGGAGGTCCTGGCAGATGTTGGGATGGAGGGAGGCTGGGATCCACGGTCCCCCATGTCTACAAGCCAAGCTTGGTCCTCCTCCAGTGTCTCCTCTTGGAATTGTACCTGAAATTCAACATCAAAAGCAGGAGGTTAGCAGTGTTCAAGTACTTGTGTATCATACAAATATCCATTTATTAGTGGATTAAAGGCTGCAACCAGTGATTATTTTCATTTGAAATGTATCTGCCAATATTTACAGATCTGTGCAGTGTAACATTTTCAGAATTGTATTGTAGTCTAAAATCACCTAACAGTATACCAGGATTCGCATTTCAAATTAGAAACAGTCAAATGAAGGGTGGGTTCAGTTGAAGCTATGCAAAATATGTTGATGCTGCTCCGATTTCAAAAGGCCACCACCCTGACAACTGAGTGATAGTTATAAATTAACCTCTGAGGTCATATTTACATGCATCATTTATTTTCACTTGGACCAAATTATTGTAGCCATTATGCGTGCTTGTTCCATACAAGACATTTTGGAAATCTACCAGGTGAACATGTGGACAGATCAGCCATTTGGGACAAAGTGAATGTTCAGCTACAGAGCTTCCTCATCACCACCATGGTGAGCTGGAATCAGGGCTCTGCAGCAGAGATACTCTCAGCAGGAATAATGACAACACTCTAATGAAATAGAGTGCTGCAATTGCAGACCTGCTTTACATGACATGAAGTTCCTGCTTCTAACCTGCATTAGCCAGCCAGTTATGCATCTCTCTGCACTTAGGGATGAGACAGCTCAACACTTAAGAGTGATTTTAAAACAATTTATAATATAATAAATACAGAACACACAACAACCTCTCATACAGGACATCTGCTACACCTTTGGAGGATATTTGTCCTATTTTACTCTTCCTTTGAATGCTTAGTAAACTTTACTGTTGAAGTTATAAGGTGATTATAAACATCCAAGTATGATGCAGAATTCAGTAAATCAGCCTCTTAAATGCATCCATTACAGCTTAAACTGAAATGTACTAGCTTGAAGATATTGCATTAGTATATTTGGACGACATTTACGTGACTTCAACTTCTGTCATCTTACTAATGACTGAACATTAGTTGTAACGTATTAGATGGGTTTATTTCATCCAACTGTAGAATACATAAGGCGTACCAATTAACCTCACAAGAAAATAAATAAAGTAAGGTAATGCTACATGAGGAACTGTATAGCACTTATGTAGTGGTAGTATCATTACTTATAAATATTGAGTGTAAGGCCTAGGTATACATTATTCAGTGTACCATTATGCTAATATAAAAGCAGTTTAGCGGCCTTTAAAGTAGTGCAGCAATTATAAGTTGACGAATGGAGTAACAAAAAAAATAGCCAAATATTTTTAAAATATTCAATGCAAAACAGATTAGGCAGTTTCAGCTACATGGATGTTTTTAGAAATAATGTGACTATTGTTTGGTTTTGACTGACAACCACTTAATGGCTCCATCTTTGAGGAAGTTTCCCCCCCCCCCCATCAATTTCAGTTGCAACCCAGAATGAAGTATGGTAGCTATTATCAAATGTTTGATATTTGTTGAGCATGGTATGTTAAAACTTACATCAATGCAAGATAGATGTACCCAATACACTCGCTAAGTGTAAAGAAGTGAATTGCTGTGACCTCACAATGACTACAAATCCACTTCCATACGGCGCGTCCACATGTACAGACCATACGCTTTTCCACCCTCACAAAACATGATGCACAGTATACAAAAACACACGATAATCTCACCTGATCTTGTTTCCAGTCTTCATTCTGATCCACTGAGGAATGGGCCTGTTCTGTTTCTGCTTCTTGGCGAGGAAGCGCTTGATCCTAAACGTCTTGTGGGACGACTGGAAAAACAACAAAGGTCGCCATTAACACCACGTCAACACATTTTTACAAACCAATGATGCATGTCTAAAACTTTAAATAAATCTTAAAATACTATAAGAAAGCATCTAGCATGTCCAAAGGAAGTTAAAGCTAACATGCGTAGCTCAACAGAGTGGGTACCGGCTAGCATCTTTTAGCAGCCCTTTTAAGTCATCATATAAAATATTTTTAGAGAACATACAGCTCTATGAGGTACCCGTGATACATCTATTAATCACACAACATATTGGTGCAGGTTTACAAGGGCTGTAGAAGAGGATGTTTAACGATTTTGCATTTACCATTTTGCCCACAATCCTTTCCCGAACTATGGCGGTGGTCGAAGAGAAAGACGGATGTAGCGTCAGGGCTTTTATCCAATCAGCGCGCGCCGAACGGGCTGAACGTTCTACAGACAGCGACACCAGGCGGAGGGGATGTTTACCTGCATCTCAGGGCCTTCAGGCATGATGCGTGTTTACAGCATGGACTCTGGCTTGTGTTGGAGATGTTGCAACCTGTTGCATTCATTCTACAGAGTTTATGTTACAAGCTGATGGATAGGCAAGATATTCACATGAAAATATAATGTTTGTGCCAAGGTAACCTGATGTGCTGAAAAGTTTCACCTCTTGTTCAGAGTTTATGAACAATTTATAAATGGTGAAAATAAAATATTGCTATTTACTATGTGCCGGGTATTGCAATTTTGTTTAGCTATGTATAATATGGCATATATTCTGTAACATGTAAATTATATTCTATAAATACAAATGTATCTGTTTATTTAATTGTCCTTGTTTCCTCTTTTCACCCTAATTTATGTCTGTAATATTTGAATTTGTGATGCATTTCACACCCTATGTATGTATGTTTTTCCTTTTATAAAACAGTTATATATCATTATATGCTGAGGTATATGTTCTATCCTTAGTACTTTATCTGATACTTAGTTATTCTTCTACTACTATAGGATGTTACTCGTCTAGTTACTCATTACTTTACAAATAATTCATATGAATAGCTAATAGAAATATATACTATAGATAGGACTTCATAAAACTATTTTAAGTAGTTTGTGGCTGCTTTTATGAAATTGTATTGCACATTTGTTTGTGTACCACTGAAATACATCACCACCTAAAGCAGGATCTGCATTTAAGGTCATTTTGTGTTCATGAGGGAGGTGCATTTGTGAAATCTAGTTCTTAAACTATGGATATTTCAAATAATGAAATCAAATCATTTCGTATTCCACCATAGGAATATTTGAACAGGTCAAAACTAAACGTCTAGTGTTATGAATTAGCTCAAAATCCCACACTTTAATAAAAGAAACCAAAGCATGTACATTTAAGCAAATACCTTTTTAATCCAGTCAAAAATGTTTACATCATTCTCATGCTGTATTCAGTTTGGTGCATCACACATGAATGTTTAAGGGGAATTTCAGATTAGAAAAAGGGGCGAAGGCCACAGGTTGATCCCTCTGATTGAAGTTTGCATGCAGGCGTAGCTGTCACATGGCAGTCTAGTCAGAAATGGCTATTTCTCCTCAGACACTGTATGAACAAAACACATGATCCCAAACCTGTAAATACAGACTATGTACTTCAGCATATGTGGATGCCTATAACAGAATATGAGAGTTACATACTTTAATTGAAGTTCCCCAGGCAGAGGAAGATTGACATGTGAACACTTGAAACTGAAAATGTCAGTGCTAATACAGAATCTCATTCAAGACAGAGTCGAACAATATTGATAGCATTGATGACATTTTGAGTAACTGGTAAATTAAAAACTGTGATATGGATGAATATGTTTGAAAAGACACCGTTTGCAACACTTGACATGAGAGAAACAATACTGACATAAGGTCACTTTAAGTTCACGTGGTCCAAGAAAGCTTTGGCTCCACCCAATGTGCCCAACAGCCAAACTCTTTCCAAAGGTTACTGTTACCTTACATAACAAATACAACTAAAGAGGGACACATTCAGGCACTGCTAGGCTCTGCAATTATTCCTCTGCCCCGGAGACTGGGAGAGCCGGGTGCTCGAGCTGCAGTGCCGTCGCCCTGAGGCGCCACCTTGCTGCTCCGAGCCTCACAGGCCTGTCTCCCCTCTCCTCACCAAACTTAAAATGCCATAAGTAGAAATCTGCTCAATCGTCTCCTTTGTCAGCCACTTTCTCCGTCTCGGTGTCTGGCTTCCTGTCGGCAGAGCTGGATTCGGCTCCTCCTCGAGTGCGGGTTCTGGACCCGGGCTGGTACAGCTGAATGGTAGGCCGGTCCTGATGTAAGAAAACAACTTTCTTAGAAATACATTACAGTACGTTGAGCTGACACTTTTATCTAAGGCGCGTTAAGATAAGTGCAATTAACCGTGACGATATAAGCCAAACCTTTTTGAGTATTGCATACTGACATTTAATTCCATTTTATTTTTGATTGGGTGTAGTATAACACTGAAAATGGTTGTAAATATAACTTGATTTGAAAGGTAACTGGCTCTAAATATAACAGTATTGTTATCATAAACTAAAAATGTATACTAATACGGTTATGCTATTCAGAGAAGAAGTATTTCATTGGCAGTATGCAGTGAATACAAGTATGTAGTATGCAGTATGTTAGAATGTGATTTCCAAACACAGTCATTACCTTGTTTCGTAGCCGATCTCTTTTCAGGCTCTCCTCCTTCTTGTGGTCTTTGGCAGGCCTCTCTGACCTCTCAGAGCGACTGGACTCTCCAGTGTGATCTCCCTTCTTCTTCTCAAAGGCCCGCTCTTTATCTTTTTTAGCCTCATCCTGCCTTTTATCCTTCCTGAAAGTGTTCTCGCGCTCTCTCCTTCTCCGGCGATCTTCGTCCTGTCGCCTGAGGCGCTCCTTCTCCCTCTGGCGGCGCTCCTTTTCGCGCTCTCCATCGCGCTCTCTGTCTCGGTCTGGGTCGCGCTCCCTGAACTCCTTCCTCCCGTCTTCCTCACCTCTGTGTGAAGCACAAATCCTGTCTGAGCATTCTGTTCAAGGTGAGATATGCATTTTCAAAAACCATATAACTATAGCTACTAACTTCCTTCCTCGATCCTCCTTATTATCAATGTGCTGACGCCTCTTATGATCAGCACCCCCCATGGGTCTGTCCTCTTTATTGGGCCTCTCTGGTTTCTTGGTTTTTTCCTTGGGCTTCTCAGAATCAGCATCTTCAGCTCTGTCTGGCTTCTTCAGGAGCTAAACATTTGAAAACAAATGGGAGACATCATGAAATATTGGAGATTTAACCTTTTAAACTGCTTTAGTTGACTGCAGCACACACCTTAATCTTTGGTTCTTCTTTCACTTGGTCCTTGTCTTTCTCCAGCGGTTTGTCGAGTCTCTTCATCTTATCGGTGTCTTTGCGCTTCCTTCTCTCCTCCTCCCTCCACTTGCGACGCTCCTCATCACGCACACGCTTGCGTTCAAGCTCCCTCCTTCTTCTCTCTTCTTTCTTTTCCTCCCTGATTCTCTGAAAAGTGTTCAAACACAACATGAAGCCAGCCCTGATCATGCAATTTAACGTTAATCACTTTATCCCGCCTTTAAATTTACCTGTTTATTCTTCAGGAAGTCCAGCAGAGGAGTTGTTTTTTTAGCTTAAATTGAGAAAAACACATGTTTGAAATCTTTCCTCCAAGAGTGTGTTTGTTCTACAGATACAAAATAATGTTTTGGATGCATTTTTTTATTTAAGGGACTGTTCACATACCAACAAGTTCCTTTGATTTGGCCTCAATCTCTTCCAGCAGGGTCTCAGGTGTTGATGCCATCTTGTCGTCATCGCCGTTGTAAATTTCAAGAAACTTATTGTAATCAGGATCTGAAAGAAAACAACATATTTGTATATTAATGTAAATATCAAGTATTTCAAAATGATACAGTTGTTCTAGCTTTTTTAGAGGACAAACACATTTTCTTTGTGGTCGGAAAAAAGGTCCAACCATCGCCATATCTCTCTTAATAACATATTCTTATATGTTTTTTACCTTCAGCAATTGTTCCACATTTTGCGTCCTTTTTCTTACTTCTTTTCTTGGCAGTCTTTTGAAAAGGGGCAAATTCCACGACGGCAGTATACTCCTGTCCTGTTTAAAAACAAATGTGGACTAACCTCAAGCCATGTCGGGGGAAATCCTTAATATTAAAGGGAAAAATGTGTGAGCTTCATACCTCTGCTGTCAATGAACACATAACCATCAAATCGATCTCTGAAGAGAACTATATCCTCTTGGTGCTTGAAGTTTATGTAAGCCCTTGCAAAGAGGTGTGGGAAAAGGCTGAAAGGAAAGAGTAATAATGTCGGTTACATGTTTAGAGTCAATAATAGCATGCTTTTTTTAAATAACTAAACATATTTTTATTAAATGACCTGGTGTCGTTGGAGAAAAACTCCAGGTAGTCCATCTCTGGGAGAGGTTGTAACTGCTCCTCCAGCTCCTCCTTGGTCAGACTTGGTGGTAACCGTCTGATCACAATCTTTGAAATAATTGAAAGTTGAATATATCATCACAGCTGGGAGAACAAAGATAAGGTAAGAAAGGAAGGAAAGAAAGACATCCAGATAAGTAAAGAAAATAACACATAGTGAAATTAGAATAAAATATATATTGAAATGAATACTACATTCATGTTTATATTCAGTTTAACCATTTTTGAAATAGGCTAACTGTCTACCATTCATGTATATTTCTTTATTTTATATGTATTTAAGGATCTATTTTAGATTTCATATAGTCTTCTAATTTTATTTTTTTACTTTTTTATACATTTATTTTTAAAGCACTGTTCGTGGGACATTTTCATTGCCAAAAACTGCTTCTTTGTAATGTTTTTTTTACTTGTGCAATAAAGAAGTAGGAACATAATTAACATAGAATGGGTTGACTGATATTGACTTAAAGTTGGGGTTAGTCATATTAATACTTGTGTAACTCACTATAAACATTACAAAGTAGACTATGTTTGGTTTATCAGACAAAACACAGCTAGTAAAAACATGTTGTTATTTAAATAGTTACGATAACTCGTAACCATAACAATAACTGACGTATAGCAACTGTAGCTAACGGAGCTAGCAAGTTCTACCTTTGTCATGGCCTCTTTCTTTTCCTTGGACCTCTCCGTCTTTTCTCCATCGTCACAATTTAATTCCAGTCTTCTATCCTTCGGTCTAGCGTTTTCCTTATCTTCCTTCATGGTTGAAAATCTACTTCGTCAAGCAGTTGTATCTCATCTCATTCCGCACACTTGTTTACTTTTTAGCAAGTTAGCCGTGTGGTAGCAACAGAACTAACCGTAACTTCCTCTGGTCGGACCTGCAGTTTGGCGTTACCACCAGAGGGGGGCGATGAGAGTGAAAACAATCGTATTCCGTGAATTTCACATTTAAATAATTTAAATTGTTTCACATTTTTGTTGTGTCGATTTGTTGTGTATGTGAGTTTTAATTTGACCGGAAAGTTATTTATTTTGAGGTATTCTTCTTTTTAATGACTTTAGATATCGGGAAAATTCAACTTCCTTTTTATAACCTTCAAAATAAAAGCTGGGTTGCTTAAGATAATACTTTAGAGCTGTGTATTTTGTATGTGATAGGATTTTCACACAAACTAAAGGAGTGTACGAAATAGTGATTACAATGAGTGTTTATTGCTGATTAAACCTTTCTGTTATGATTCTGTATAGATAGTCTTAAATGTACTAATTCCCAATGCATTAAATATTTTACAACCGTATCTCTAATATAGGAACCGAAAGGAAAATCTGAATGTATGTAACGCTTGACGGCAAAATAGTCGAGTAGTAAGTAAAAAATGACTTTTTTCATCTATAAAGCGCTGACACCTTTATTTTGAAAAAAAAAACCAACAGGAAGTCTTCTCCTTGTTCTGCTAGCGGAACATGAACATAGGTCGTCAGAGGAGAGTTGACATTTTGTTAGCTTCCTAGCTAAATAAACTGTTAGGGCGACTCGGTTGTAATCAAAGTTGCTCTCAGTGGGCTGAAAGTCTCCGGCTGTAATCATGTGGTATGAAATCCTGCCCGGTTTGGCGGCCATGACCATATGTTTGATCATTCCCGGCATCGCCACCACATATGTACACAGGTTCACAAACGGAGGAAAGGTGAGCAGGATGCTAATGTAACTAATAAGAAACAAGCTAACAGTGCTGTCAGAATGTTTTTTCTTTAAAACATCTTGATTCAATACTTGTTGTGTTCTCCTGCAGGAAAAGAGAATCGCTCGGCAGCCCTGGCAGTGGTATCTGCTGGAGAGAGACAAGCGGGTGTCGGGAACTGGAGACTACTTTGACTCCAAGGTTAGTGTCCATGTGTCGATGATAATAATATAACCTTCTGTGAGAAAAGTGAGCATAACAATCAAACGAAATATTATATTTATATAAATATGTCCTTTTTTTCTTCTATTGCTCAATAAGCTCAGTGTGTCTCAGCGAGGCATTAATATTGCAAGTGTCTGTATTTACAAACCGGTTGTATCTCAGTGATGTGCACATTTTCAGCCAAAATGTAGAAAGGTGTATGTGTGCACATTATGAAAATAAATGTTTAATGCTGAGTTTAATTGCTGGAAAATTGAGAACAAACGTTTGGTTTAATGAATAATTATACAAATATTTCTAAGGGTAAAAATCACTTTGTCCTTGAGTCTTCTGGAAATTAATTTCAGGAAACAAACGAAAGTGGAAAATAATAATTGCATTCTAATTTTTTTTAATATATTATGTATCATTCTTTAATAGTATTTAACTTAGGGTGAAAGGGAACTGCTGCTGTTGAGTGATCCCCAAATAAAGAACAACATGCAGAAATGTTAAGAACTGCTATTTATAGGTAAAATGCCATATTACATATTTGGTAAGTAACATTAAGACAAAGAAATAAATCTGTTTTAATATAAAATGCAAAAAGGTTTGGAGGATTTATTAGTGTGTTTTTAAGTAAAACATATCCCTCACCTAACTAGCAGATTCCAACCTCTCTTGTAGTAAGACATTGACAATACAAGCCTAGGCGAAACAAATATAAGACATTAAATAAGCAAAGATTACGTTTGTTGAATCAATATCATTTAGTATTTTCTTGCACGATTTACGGAGAGTCAAATGTCTTTCTAATGACATATTTTCCAACCTGTAAAATAGCACGTACACTGAGGTTTACAGCAGAACATGCTTAAACCTCAGGCCTAGATAATGATTTCCATACATTCATCAACTAAACTAAAACCTATAGCTGTTTTGAAGGCAGGGATATCCTCAAAAAATGAAATTATTGGTTAATGTTTAATATTTGTTTCAATTGTTTTTAAATATAATACTATTCTTTCTCAACAGGGGCTCGAGAACATCAACTGATGATGACGGATATAAGGACCCTGATGAGAGAGAAGAACGTTGTACAATAAAAGATTATATTTAACATCCAGCTGTTTGTTTTTTCAGTCTTTTAAGGCAATCGTCCCTGTTATTAATTAAACTGTTCCACACTGAAAATCTTCAGAGGCTTCTCGGCTCATTTGTGAATTTCATAAGCAACAGACAAGAGATCCTTTACACCTGTCGTATTGTAGATGTTATATCGCACGAGGGGAAACCCAAGGAATATATTAATATCTATACTAGTGAGACTAGACACTGTAATATTTTGTATATATATATATATAAATGTCTCCTCATGCTTTAAAGGCTGTAGCTTTCAAAACAACTCCAAACTAATTATATTTAGAAGCAGGGCAGAAGGATTTAAAAATTGAATTGTGATTATTTTTGACTGATATTGCAATCAGAAACAATATTAAGTCTTGTTTTAATTAAAAAAAACATGATTGTTATGGTGTAATTTTTGCAGGGCTCTGTACCAGACAGATGTGTTCGTTAGTCTGTAGAATCTGTATAAAAGGTCATCTGCAAGGAATCAATGATTTAGATTCTCATAATTTAGGAAATTCCTTTTCAAATGTGAGAAATGAATGCTTTCTTTTAAATTAGTTGAATGTTGTTTGGACCACACAAGACAACTCTTAAGACATCACTTTGTCTTTTAAAAATATAATTTTTTTTAATAACCATCTACCAGTGAACTTGTGAAGCAGAGGAACTGATGTTTAACTATTCGTTTAAAAAAATAATATTACATGTATAATTTAATGACCTACACACTGATCAACACAATCATTGGACCGTGGTATAATTTCATCAATCCGGTTATGAAAAATCTGAGGTCGTGATTTGATAACAAACAAGAAAGGTAGAAAAACATATTCTAGACAGGATTATTTTAGGTGATTAAAATGTAATACATTTTTTTAAATATATGAAAATATAGTATCATAGGTTTCTAATATCTTTGCTTTTTCACTCATGATTGATTCGAAATGTTTCTCCTAGAATGACCAAAATTGAAAGAAGAACTGTGAAAACCAAAACTTCACTATTACATTTTATTGAATGTTCTGATCAGGATGATTCACAAACGATTTACAAGAGAAAATAAAGATTTAATTAAAAGGGAAGACACTTTCCAGTGAATACATGGGATGGAGAATATAATACGACAAAGTACTTCTCAAAGTCTCAGTTACAAACATATCTTTATAGTTAAAAACCTCCCTCAAAACTGTACATTTAACTCAAACTGAATGGGGTTATTCTCCCGAAACACAAGAATAATACCTCAAGATAAAAGTAAAAGGTATAAAAAACAGATGTGATGTTCACTTCTCCTCCTTGCCTTTGGTCTTCCTGTACACCATCTCCCTGAAGCTGGACAGGATCTTGCTCTCCCTCTTCCTCCTCTCCTCCTGGTTGAAGGACGCCAACGCTCGCTTCTCGTCGGCACTGTAGATCTGGTTTTCCTTTCTCAGACGCACAGCCTCCATACGGCGATGTCTGCGGGGTTACATTTAAATTGTTCAGTATCAAAATAAAAACAGAAGAAGCTCAACATCAATGTTCCCAGACTTTCACATCGGAATTATATTTCTATTCGTAAATGACTCCTTTTATCCCCATTTTCTGTGTCTTATTTGGTATGTAAATATGTGATTTATCTTAAGATATTATTTTATTTAATAAAATATGTCCTGTTTTTTCTCTTCGCTTATCTTTGATAGTGTTCTTGGAATACAATCCTTTAGCTTTTATTTTGTCTGTGAACACTAACAAATATATATATATATATATATATATATTTATTTGTACATAAATATATATTCTTTCATAAAAATAGACATATATTTTAAATTCTTAATCTATCACCAATTATCCAGAAAGTTAAAATCCTATCAACTCCAATGTGAGTTTACTCCTAAACATGACGTACCTGCTGCCACTCATCACGTAGCCAGACTTCTCAAAATCGGCGATCTCGCAGCTGGTGAGACCGATCTCTCCTCTTCTCGGGATACGTTTGCCTGCTTTCACGTACTCTGCCATCGCAGCACCTTCACCCGGCAACAGCGCATGACCAAAACTGGACAGAGAAAAATGCATTTGTTAAACTCCAGTCATAAATGAAGAAAATAAGTTCTGTAACATATAAGAAAAAACACCAATGATTCTTTTGGGAGTCCAGTTTCAAATGTTGTGTTTTATCCAACAAACTATCCAAAACCAGTTCATCATATATCTTTTTTATATATTTCAAAAAGTCATCATATTCATAAGAAAAAGAAAAAAGGAAATATTCAAGAGCTGTGTGAATAATAAACTAATTCAATCAAAAATATTTGTCTTATCAGTTCTGTATTTCCCAAGCAGAAAAACACAAAAATACCCTGGTACCACTTCCAACTTTTACATTTGAAAACATTTACTATTTTTCTTGGGTGTTTTAGGACTCATTGGACAAAACAAGAAACTTGATGACATCCACTTAGGAGTTACTGGTATTCTTCAATTGCAATTACAACAGAAGATTGCCCTTTTGTCATCAAAAAGGACTCGTCAGCATTACAATATCACGTGTTATCAGGCAACCTGCTGCAGTGCTTCCATCAAAATTGTGTATTGTTTGAAGGAACATAAAGTGCAATAAAAAGTCTTACTCTAAAGGTTTGTCGTCCTGCTCCAGCTGAGAGAGGGGGGCTTCGGGGCCGACCATGTGTTCGTCGATGCAGGTTTTCTCCACCCACAGCACCGCGTTGGGATCCTCCTCTTCCTCCTCCTCCTCTGACTGCTCACTGCCGGTGTGGCTGGACTCCTTGCGGGTCTTCTTCTTCTCCTTCTCCTTCTTCTTCTTGGACTTCTTTGACCTGTAAGGAAAAAAGTGGGTTTGTTTAATTCATTGTTTTGTGAAGAAAGCGGATATGCAGCAGCGCTTCGGCACTTACTTCTTGCTCTTCTTTTTCTTGGATTTCTTCTTCTTTATTTCTTCTGAAATATAAATAAATGACAAACATATCAGCTGATAAAAATCAAGAAAGGTTATTATTTCTTAAATGAATGTATGTCTGTCTCACCATCTGAATCTGACTCCAGCTCGCTGTCTTCAGAGTGCTTTTTGTTCTTCTTTTTCTTGGATTTCTTCTTCTTTTTTTTCTTTTTCTTATCGTCTGTGAAGAATAACTTTGTTTGTCATTTCGCAGTAGGCAATTTAATGTAATTTATTCACATCCAAACACTGTGTGCTTTACCTTCTGAGCTGGATTCTGAACTGCTGTTTTTCTCGTCTTCGACTGGAGTGAATTCATCAGAGCTATTGGAAAACAGAAGTAAGAAAATTATACCTTCTGCACCGAAACATACAAAAGCGTATGTACGTATAAAACTCTGGAGAACAAATGTGTGGTTCTTTGAATTTTAAAACAATATCATACAATAAAAAAAATTGTTTTTTGAGAGATTCTTGACGTACTCTGGCTCTTTTACTCTCGGTGAATATCCCCAAACTTCAGGACAACCTGACTCACCGATCTTCTCTCTCTCTTGCAGACGCCTGCAACAGAAAAACAAATTCCACATCAACACCAAAACAATCAATTGTACTGTACAACTCTGTGTGTCCGGACTGCCTTTGCTTAAACCTGTTGCTATCTTCTTGCTAAGTAATATGTATGTTTTTTTTAATTGATTTGTATTAGCATTTCCAGTGCTGTAAGCCTCTATGTTGTATGTTTTTACTGATTGTATTTACCGTTTAAAAAGAGCCACGTGAATTGTTGACTCCATCATTTATATGCTTGACACATACTATGGACTATATTTTGAGGGTCCCCTACTATTAATTATAGTATTTAATAAAGTAATCCTGCAGCTACTTCATTACTTTTCAACTATTATTTGATTTTATATAATAAATACGTTTGTGCATGCCACTTTACTAAATACTGTTTTTATTTTTGTCTCTATCATTATTGTAACGGTGTTGGAATAATAAAGGAATTCTGATGGAATCATTATCTGAGTGTTACCTGGCGATAAAGGCGTCTTGTCTCTGTCTCTGCGCGTCGTCCCTCTGCTCCTCGTAGTAATAATCCTCTTTGAAGCCGCCGTGTTTCCCCGGTGCTTCCCTCTGCTCGGACCAGTGCCCGCCGTGGCTGTTGTTGTTGGTGATCGGGTTGTTGTTGTTGTTGTTGTGTCTCTCTCTGGACCGGGACCTGCTCCGGCTCCCTATGCGAATCCTCCGGATGTTTCTAGCCTCTTTGAACCGGCGGTCCCGCTCTTCGTATTCCTTCTCCCGGTTCCTGGGCTTCGGGAGTTTGGGCCCGAAGCTGTACGGAGACAGGCTCCTCTCGCGGCTGCCGCTGCGGTGTCGGCTCCGGGACCGAGACCGCGGTTTGCGGGCCCGGGGGCTGCGAGGCTCGGCGCCGCCGTCAGGGCTCGACCGGTCCGACTTGGGCATCGCTACTCACCAATCTGGACTCTCAACAAAACTAAGCTACAAACTAGAGTTCAAGATTCACTTTTTAAAGGAATATTAAGAGAGAAATGAACACGCGTTCGTGTTTTCGTTAGCAAAGCGTCCAATAACAGGAAGTCGACATGAGTCCGTCGAAAATACACACCGGTCTTACCAAACCGGAAGTGCACATAGTTCCGCTTGTACTTTCTACTGGCTGACTGCAGTCTGTGGGTTATAAGCAGATAACTGGTACGCAGGTACGCATGCGCGGCAACAATCTGAAATGCGTAACGTCACTTGTGTCACAACGCGCCTTTGCGTACCTGATAGGTTATCAAAACAAAAACACATATTTCGTCTATACGTGTTTCTTGTCAACACTCAGTGGAGTAAATTATTAGACATGTCCAAAAAAAACAAAGACATTAAGCAGCCACTTTGCCGTTTCGCTCCCTGCAAAAATCTTCGGACTTTCTATGACTGATTGAACTGGGTGCTGGCTGTGCCGCGCAGGACATAACCGACGGACCTGTGAAGCTTCACAGGAGAAAGAGGCTTAGATCACTGGACGACAGAGTTGGTCGCCGTGTGCACAGACGGGGCTGCTGTTAACGTCGGTGTGTACAACCGAATTGTACCAAAACTACATCAACTGG